TCAGTGGGGCAATGTATCTGAATGATAAAAATTTAACAACTAGAACATGACATACAGGTACATACTTGCTCTGGAGATCTTCAAAGTTTATTTTTCCTGGAATGTGTGCTTCAGATGACAATGTGACAACCCTTGAGCATCTATCTGGTGAACCAGACCTGGTGAAAAATGTGATATACAGTGTGGATGGCTTACTAGAGATTGCAAATGGTTCCTTCAAAAAATAGTAGTGCCAACTAAATTTAAAAATGGCAAAATGATGTTGCAGCTTCTAAATTCTACATAGAAAATACTCTAGCATGCTCCATCAATATTAATTAAGGAAACCAAGATCAACATGCAGTTCCTAATGTGACCATAAGACTTTTTAACCTTTTAAATCCCAAGGCCTGATTGTTAATTCTCCCCTCTGGATGCTGCAGAATTCCATGTAAATTAGACGTGAGAATTTGGTGTTAGATCAAGACAACAGCCTCTACCTGATAAGTTTGATTATTCTCATGACCTGTTTGCAGGACAATGTATGGATATTATAGGGAGAAGTTACATGTTTATCAATTCTGGGATTTAAAGGGTTAAAGGCCTTTTTGGCTTCTTTAATTAGCCCCTTATATAATTATTTCCTCAAATGCGTCAGCAAAACTGATGGTGAGTTATCCTCAGCAAAACTTCACTCCTGATTAAAATTTCAGACCACTGCCTTGGCAAGTAGATGCGAATCAATTAACAAATAGATTCCATAAATTCTTGCTGTGCATTTGTTCTGTAGTAGATCACAGATGACTTCAAAATAAAAAGAGAACAGAAAAATGGCACATGAAGTGCAGCTGAGTGTGTCACTGATGTTCTTCCCACATTTTGACATCTTCTGTTATCTATTATTGTAAAGCACTGCGTCAAAATGGAATCTATTTGTTTTAATTATCTCTTAACCTTTTACACGCTAACATCAGTATCAAAATTCTCTACACTGTTCGTTATAGCTTTACTAAGGTGGTGCTGACAAGGTGAATTTGTTTGCCAATCAGAAGGTTCCTTCCCTGGTGATCATTTTTTTTATTCTTATGACGTTAATGTGTGATTCAGGGGTGATATTGTTGGTAGAAATTAGCTGCTAGTCACTCCTAGGGTTTAAAGGATTAAAAAAGCCAAATGTTGTTAATTGTGAAGAACATTGTCCATGCAACTGAACTACAATAGATCAAGAACCAATCAAATTGTGCGTAGTATTCAGTGCATCATATATTTAAGAAGAGCTGACAGTTAAATGGCTCATTTGGGTCAATCATTTGCTTAGACGCTCACTTGATCAAGTCATCTAAGAGCAGATTGGTCAGAGCAAAGTGTCCAAGATGGTTCACCCCAAATTGAAGCTCAAATCCATCTTCAGTTTTGCTGTAAGGTGGAATCATTATTCCTGCATTGTTCACAAGGATGTGAAGAGGAAGTCCTTTTTTCTTGAAGTTCATTACAAATTTCCGTATTGAAGCAAGGCTCGCCAGATCAAGTTCCATGTATTCCACTGATTTGCATGAAGAGATGAATAAAAAAAAAAGATGCTGATCAAATTTACTATACTGGGTGCTATTTACACAATGAAGTTCAACATCAGAATGCTAAGTATTCATTATATATATGTTTGTTAATAAGGATTCAAATCATCCCTAGTGGGTAACAGATATTCAGATCCATGCATTAATTGGGAAGAAGTAATATAAAAACTGATTGAAATACAAATTTTACATTTTATGTGGTTGTAAGAACATAATTTCAATATTTCAAGTTTTTAACAATTGATCAGAATGATTTCCCATTCAGGAGATACTGAACTATCATGAACTAAAATGAGTCTTAATTTATTAAGAAAAAATAACATTAGGTAAGTAGATAAATGTGCAGGGGGTGGGGGGCGGGGAGATGTAGAATAACTTTTGCTCCACTTTTTTCCAGGCATTTTACAACTCTTACAATCTATTGTTTTATTTTCTTTTCAAGTTTCAAGTTTCTCCTGATTAAGAAGTGGCCAAAATTTTGATGTGTAATTTTCACCCCATTAAAACAATATACAATCTTCATGTACATTGATTTTCACGACTTTGTTGTTTCTCAAGTTATGTTGCATTCAAAATTTGCAACTTGTAACATCAAGGCCTTAAGTGGATCTTCTAATTTCTTTTAATAGTTGGGGTTAATTATGCTGCAACCAGAGCTCTGCACTCAGAGTTTACCTTCAGCTTGAGGCAACTCCTCCCTTATTTTTTTGATTGCTTTCTCTGCTTCTGCTGTATCTCTACAAGCTTAGGAAAAAATTAACATGTTCAAAACAGAATTATACGAATACAGGATTATACTTCATTTTTACATGAGTTTACCAGGTGGCATATTTTCAGTAGCCCTATGAAATGAAAGGAAAGTTAAACTTTACCCTCCTAATGAGTAAACAGCTCCTGTTCAAAGTTAATTTGAAAATTAATGCTTATTCTTTTCCATGCGACAAACCGTACCATTATACCCTCTAGACATTTTTTTTTAAATCTTTATTACTTCCATGAGTAACCACCACAGAATTTCTCCTCATATTTTCAATACAAAATCAATCAGACAAGTGATGAGAATAAAGAAAAATATCAATTAGGGGATTATTAGTTGATCCACTGCAAAACTCTCTGAAACGTCATAAAAAGAATTGTATGACAGACAGTGAGGAGAGTTACCAATGAGATCTTGGGAGTGAAAGGGTAATAAACTATAAGTTCATAATACAAAACAGTTACAGCATGAACACATTCAATTACGTCAAATGCTTCAAAACTACTGGATAAAGCCAAAAAGGTCATTACCAATTATAACTGTCATCTGTGCCTTGCAAAGCCCTCTGACTGTTTCAAGACCAATGCCCTTGTTCCCTCCAGTTACTATAGCAACCCTTCCATCCAAATTAGGAATCACTGTTTGCAAGAAAATCTTATTAAATGAAACATAAATTAAGAAACATGCAAGCTTTGGAAAAGGGAAAGGGTAGGTGGGGGCCTAGGTTTATAGATGTAATGGCAATGAAAAAACCTCAATGTCTTAGCTTAAAAATCTTAAGACTCATTGTCTGGCAAAACAATCTCAGGAGGGCTAGTCAGAAATTTTCCATAGCACAAAATTTTGCAAAATCACCAATAAGCAGAAGTAATTTTAGTGGTATAACTAAAAAAAAGGTTAAAATTTGATGTGAATGTTCATAGATATGTCCTCTTGTTAGAACTGGCCTTGCCCTCTTGACAGGTAGCAGATCAGATACTACACTGAAACACATGCAATGAATGTGCACACACCTGATGACGATGATAAGCCAACTATGCAATATGTAGTAAGTCACATGATTGTATTTTATGTAAGAAGTGTTATTATCATAATAGTAAATATTGTGTGAAATACAAATGAAACATAAAGACTAAAAGGTAAAATTTCTGCACAGCCCCATCCTACATTATGCATTTAGTTCTTGAACAGAGAAAACAATGACAAAACAGTACATTTCCATTGGGAAAACAGATTTGTTTTACAATAGTATGGAGCTTTAACTTTACCGAAGAAAAATAAGGGAAGACAAGGTGGTGATAATATTGAGGATGATAACGATGTAAATATCAAAGCACATGGTGAATGAATTTAAGAACACCATGTGCATGTATAATGGTTGATATCTCGAATGATATGATATTTACACGTAGCTTTTTCTCCGCTTTTTTTGTTGTTGTTTTATTTTAGTAACCTGAATCTTTTTAAAAATGTGTTTATCTTTGCATACAGTTAAGGCTGGAAAAAATTACAGTGTTTCAAGGACACCAATTTACCTTCAAGAGAATTGTGTTTGGAAAAAACTTGTTTCATGAGGACTTTGGCGCCATTCAAGTAGTTCATAAGCATCGCACTCGCCATAATTAAGATCAAACCGTAAATAATTAGATCCCAAACAACTGTATTCTGTGTGAGTAGCTGATATTATTGTTTTCTGAAGTTTGAATATTGCGTGACAAGAGAGATAAGACTGTCTCACGACTGAGAGGGATTCTCGCTACCAGTCCCTCGAGAGAGAAAACAATTTTAACGTTTTGATCGGATCGGTTTTGTCTGGTTCTCGTTCAGGAGACTTTAGGAATTATTAACCGGAACAATCCCTTCTTTCCGGAAACAAAATTGCTTCATGACAAGACAAGTCACCGTTTCGTTTTCTCTTAGAATGTCCACGGACTCTATGATCCTACGAAGTACATTTATTTCTTCATTCGCACGGCGCTCATTCAGAAAAAGAACATTACATCAACAGTATGCCTCTTATTGTTAAAGTTAATCCAGGGAACGTTTTAGGGAAATATCCTGACATTACATCGCCTGATGGTCTTATTTCTCCACCGCCGATAGAAACAGAATTGAAAGAGACTTCGCCGCTTCTGCGGGAAAAGATCAAGGCAAAACAACGTCAATTTAGGAAAGCTGTTTCGCGAAAGATACAGAGAAGACTTCGAAACATGAAGCGAACTCCAGTACTGATGCTAATTTTGATCGAGGTTTTTGAACGGTTTGCATACTATGGGATACTCATCAACTTCGTTTTGTTCCTGAACAAGTGTTGTGGTTGGACTATGTTTTTGTCAGTGGCAAGTGTAATGACATTTTCATCAATTTCGTGGTTCATGTGTGCTCTAACAGGAGTAATGGGTGATTCGCGTTTTGGTCGCTACAATACCATCGTAAGTGGCTTCCTGGTTTATTTCTTTGGTGCTTTAACTCTTGTACTTGTGGCCTTTTTAATGGGATATTTTTACCTCGAGAATGGGCAACCTCGAGATAGAATAGACCAGCCTTGGATTTTAATGATTTTACTCGTGGCGTTACTGAGTATCTGTGCTGGAGAGGGAGCTGTAAAGGCGAATTTATCTGCTTTTGAGGCAGACCAGCTTAAGAGAGATGCACCAGTGCAGGAGAACAAGATGTTGTTTAATTGTTTTTATTGGATGTCCAATGTGATTTCGTTGCTGTGTCTGGCTGTTGTTACGTATATTCAACAAATGAAGTGGTGTTACGGCTTCACCATAGGGTTTGGTATTCCTGCTTTTTCACTGACAATAGCCTTTGCAATATTTCTTTGCTGTCGCAAGCATTTCGCCATTGACAGGCCTCGCGGCACTGGGCTCAGGAATATGTGGCTTATTATGCGTCAAGCCTGGTCAAGGAGAAAAGCTGTTAAAGTGGAAGAGAGGTAGTCATCCTGGGCTTGTAAAATAAAGAATGATATAGATTTTGAGTA